TAGTTTAATTGAAGGACGGCGAGAGTGTTCCTACCGTCAAAACAACTATTGCTGTAGTTGCAGTGAAAATGGTCTGTCCGTGTCCTTCTGGAAGATCATGAACTGATTGCAGAGCAAGGGCAAAGGCCATTGCCCCTCGAAGTCCTGTTCATGTTGCAAAACTTAGACACCAAAATAAAGAAAAAGCCAAAGAAAAGAAGCAGTTCCTTTCAATAGCAGAACTAATCAAACTTCACGAGGTAAAGTCAACGACTTGCGTTGATTATTTCCTTACCACTATACCAAAGTGCTTTTTGGTATTTTGGAGGTATCTGTTGATGTGCAGGTCTGACAAGATTGACCAGGTAAGCACAAGAAAAGACATTTGCGGCTCTGCATGAAAACACCCAAGAATCTTGCTGTCAACTTCGATGGGAAATGTGAGAGCAAAACATAAAATTGTTGAGTACTACACCGGTCTCAAATATAAACAAAAAAGAAGTCATATTTGGTGATCCAAAATATAAGCAAAATCGAACTACTTCCATCTTATTTAATAGTACTATTCTTAAATACCCTTTAATGGAACAAACTCACATACAAAATTAAATGAAAAGAAAGGATAATTTGCAAAATGCAATTAGTTTTTCCATTACACCAAAAGAAAATTAAAAGAGGTTAACCAACATTCTTAATAAGTATGTAGTTACTAGTTAGCAAGTTTAGCTTATATTTGAGAGTGCAATAACACATGCTAATCTTTAACCAGAAAGCCTGAAATAAATGTGTCACTACAATCATAGGCTAGTAATGAGAGAAATCAGTACAATACCTTGCAACTACAATGAATATCTGAAGTGATTATTGAGAAGTTAAGGAAAAGAACCAAGAAGAACATGAAATTCTTAGCTATTAGAAATCACAGCACTTGAATATTAAGGGGAAAATAAAGGATACAATGGAGAAGAATATAAATCCAACATGAGACCAGCTATGTTGTTCCATAGCAATGTCAAAGCCCATATATATAAATCTGTAAGAGACAAAAAGAGTCCACACATCATTTAGAAATTAGACTTAATGTTTGAACATGAGGGAAAATACTGTAAATGAAATCATCCTTACATAAATGTTTCTGCTAATGATGATATCAACTCAAAAAAAGCAGAGACAAATCTTTGAGAACTTCGTGACAAATTTGAATACGCATAGTGCTTCATCACCTAAAACAACCAAAATAGTCACCACAATGTTTTGATACAAACATGAAAATACCCCAGGAAAAATGTCATATGCACTTACAATTCCTGTGAATAATATTGATACAATACCAGACAGACCAAGGCCTTCAGCCAGCATGTACCTACAAAATTTAAGAGTTTACAATGATTTGCACCATGAGTGGAAGAACATAAGAAAACCTGGTGAAACGGCTATCAAGAAATGGTCCGTGAAGATTGCTTACGAGAAATATGGGAAGAGAACAAAAAGACAGCTCTCCAAATTCTGAAGGCTGGATAGAATCATAAAATTCTTCTGATCAGTATTTTCCACATGTAACATGAATCACAAACAACAAATATCTGAAAGAAAACTGATATTTGATACTTACTTGTCAACATCCAAGCCTGCATACTTAAATAGGTTCTGGCAGTCAAGGTTTTACAAAAAAAAATCTTGATTTTTAAATTTCTAAAGATTTATACAGCAGATATAAAGGACACGAGTGGATTTTAAAGGATATCAAAGCAGATGTAAACCCAACTCCAACACCTGCAGAGACACCAAATGAATCACAATTATAACTTATGAATACTGAAAATATTAATACTAATTCATAACAACACACAAAAGCATCTAAGACTATAAGTTCACAAGGTAAACAAATTTTCCAGTCTGGCTCTCCTTTTCTTCACCCTATTAAACCCAAAACAAAATATAGCTAAAAACTGACCTGCAGACATAGAGCCAACAAAAGTCTCCAAAAATCTAACAACCACCATGAAGAAATTTTGTCCAGATGGATTTTTTCTAACCAATGACATTGTTCTGTGAAATAAGTACTTGGGTTAAATGTGAACTTCAATGATACTTGGGCTATTTCAATAAGCATAAGATATCAGGAAGTTTAGGTACCTGTACAGAGAAATTGCCATCTGCCATAGTGCAAGAGGGAAGTGAGGACAAAAGAAATAACATATAACGGGAAAGAATAAAGAACAAGAACAGCCTTAGCACTATCTATCTTCAGATCACAGCTGAAATCAAATTTTAAAAAGAAATATTGAAGCAAAGAAACTTACTGCATCATTCAAAACAGATTCTCCAAAAACCAAAGCATATAGATTGACATCAGTGCCCAGCTCCTGCAAAGAGGGTAGGTTAATTTACAAATTCAGTATGAATTGAACCAGATGCAAGCATATAGATTGACACCTGTGCCCAGCTGCTGCAGAGAGGGAAGGTTAATTTTCAAATTCAGAATGAATTGATCCAGATGCTATTTATATTTATAATACACATAAGACTCAGAATTGAAGCAGGGCCTTCAGCCTTGATGCAACCATTGGAGTTGCAGTCATGTGACCAAGAGGCCAAATGTTTGAATATTTAAATCAAGTTAATCAATTTCTTGCAAATGGAAGGTAAGGCTATGTATAATATATCCAAAATATGTTTGACACCTCCTAGTAGGACCTTGCCATAGCAGGAAGTTTAACGCACTAGGTTGTCCTTTTTTGTTCTTAGAATGTATGGGACGTGTCTAACTCATCCCTACAAATCGGCTTGTAAGGTGAGGATTGCCTCCCACTTATAAACACATATTCAGGTCATATATTGTCCAATGTTAGACTCTTAGTCAAGATTGTCAAGATCAAGATCTTACATAAGATCGGAAAAGAATAGCAAGATCGTAAAATATAAAATTGTAGCTAAGATCGGAAGATCCTACCCAATTATTTTTGTAAGATCGAGAGGGGGTAACAAGATCGTAAAACATAAGATTGCAACAAAAATCGTAATATCCTACTAAAATGTACAAATAGTATAATAATTAAAGTATTTTTACATGATATATGTTAGTAGGTAAATGTATTCGTGAGAAAATGATTCTTTTTCATATTTTTAGACATGTATAATTGAGTTTTTATACTTCATTACTACCACATGGAACATTTGTTAGACATTAGGGACATATTTGGTCAATTACTAGGATTATCATAACTCAATTAGTTAAAACAAACCCTACAAATGAGATGTTTATTCCCTAAACCCTAAATCTAAAACTTCATCATTTCAAAAGACACACATTCATCGTCGTCGGACCATATTTGTTGTGCCTATGTATCTTGTCATCCTTCTCACTTTTAATGGTGGTGATCGGAAAATGACCAATCAAGCCCAAAACTGGCAAAGATCGCACAAAATCAATGATTTTACAAAAAAACAAAAATCACAATTAGGCGACAACACGTGATTCTACTTAAGATCCGGATCGTTGGGGGTGAGTGAGATTGTAAATCTGGAGATTTTAAGATCGAGATCGAGATCTTGGCAAACAGCTCTTAATAACACACACTCTCATGTTCAGGACTGAACATTTGAAGCGTGGACATAAATGGTGGGTGGCCCGATAGCGGAAACCTGATAGCAGGTGGCCCGATCGTGGATTTTAAACGAGTCTCGGATACCATCTTTAGAATGTGTGGGTTGAACCTAACTCATCCCTACAAACCAACTTGTAAGGTGAGGATTGTCCCCACTCTTAAACACATATTCCGACCGTATATTGATGTTAACATTTGTAATACTCAAAATTACCATGAAGGCTATATTAGCTCTTCCTCTTCGCATGCTTCTAACCCACACATGTATATTATGTTCTCGAATAATACGCTTTATTTGTGTGTGTGATTTTATCGTGTCATATACATATACTTTAGACATAGCTCGTGTTGGTAAGTCCCCCCATTATATTTATGATTGTGCTTCATATACTATGAGTTAATAACATCGTGAATTAGAGTTTTGAAAAGCATAAGTTTACCAATCAAAAAGCATTACATTTTTTCCTAGTCACATACATTAGTGACATTACAAAACTACAGTTCTGGAATGATATTTTAGTCATTTACTCATCATATTAGAAAATCTTATGACCACCTAAATCCCAATGTTCAATTTAGCAAAATATGTAGCTGCTCATGCATGGGCAACAAACAAGAAAGTTTAGATTTTGGGAAGGTAGTGAGTCCTGCCTAGTAAGTATTAACACTCTGTGGCCTTTGTTTTAAACATGTATTTTGAGTTCGGAGAATTATAATTTGTAACCTAGGAAGACAGAACATCAATACTTATATGGATTAACAGAGTATATATATGAATGGATGAATTAAAAAATAAATAAAATAAAAAAAGTGGTATTTCACCTGAAATATGGACAAAACCGTAACAGGATCGGTTGCTGATATAAGGGCGCCAAACATTAGGCACTCAACAAAAGGTAGTTTATACATAAGGAAAACCAACCCACCAAGATAACTACAGCAGAAAAAAAAACATAAGCATTAAATTGAAACCTTACCACCATAATGTGCTATGCATTCTAAGCCTAAAACAAGATCACTTAAAAAAGAGGGATGGAAACAAAAACTTACACCAAAACACCCGTTACAACTGAAGCAAGAAAGGTACCAAATATGGCAAATGTCACAATTGCACCAAAATTTGAGAAAAAGGGTTTCTGCAAAAACCCACATTTCCACAGTCAAAATATACTTCTAAACCAACAAAAAAAAACTACAACTCTATACGATAGAAAAAAACTATGGAGTGACTTACAGGTGCAAGACTGAAACCTGACTGAGTAAAGCGCAGAATCAAGGAAAGAAACAATGTTGAAATAAATTGTCACATAAGCTATAACCTACCAATATACATAAATTAAATAACTAAAAACTCAACAGAAAATAATGATAATAATACTAATCATTATTATTATCATTCCTATAATAACAGTGTCAATAAGGATATAATATGATCGGAGGTAACAGGAACAGGAAAAAAAACTCCTCATGAAAATTGAACCAAGCCCTATGGAAAAATGGGAAGAAAAAAAATTAGACAACAAAAATATAGACAATGAAAAATTAAAGGAGAGGATGAGGAGAAAATAGAAATAAATAACCTGATATTAGTTTCAGTATCTGAAATGTTAGCTAAAACACCAACAATTAATCCTAGAGTGAAACAAAAGAATTTAGGTTAAAAATTGAAATTGAAATTGAAGAAAAGATGAAAGAGGCAAAATAGAAAGAAATGGAACCTATGAGAAGAGAAGCACTGGCTTCAGGGATGATGTAAATCTTCTTGCGACGGAGAACGTGACCGAGAACGAAGGACAAGACCAACATCATGATCTGAAGAAGAATTCCGACGCCGGCGGCTTGTTGTTCCTTGCCGGGAGCCTTAAGAGCATCGGCCGGAGAAATTTCATTCTCCGAGCCCATTGTGAATCACGGAAGAACTCGATTCGATTCGGTTGTTGTGTTGTGTTCACAGAATGATGAATTTTGTTCTCTCCTTTAACTGTGATTCAAAATTGTTGTCTCTATAATTTCAACACGGAACTCTTCTAGCTCCTACGTATATAATTATAATTATAAGTAATTAATTACTGTTAATGATAATGATGATTGAAATTAATATAAGCTATGATCCATTCATATGTTCTTCCAATATTCGGTTACATTTGGGCATAGTAATTTACGTAATTACATTCGGCGAAGGTGTAAAAGTAAAACTTTATTGATTTTCTATTAAAAAAAATTATATTCGTTTTTTGTTTTTCAGGTAAATATTTTTATATTTTTATACTATGGTTATTTCGATTATGATAAATGAACAAATGTGCCTTTTTTTTTCTAGGGATTAATGTGCCTCTAATGGAAACAAATGAGCCAGTTTTGTATTTTGTACAAGTCATTTGGTGAATGAGGAAGCCATACACTTTTCCACGTTTCTTAAAGAGAAAAGTGCATTTCTTTTAACTTTTCATGTTAATATTTATTTAGACTTTTGCCACCTCAAAACTTAAAATATTAATAAAAGTGTGTGTGGGGTCATTCATGAATAAAAAAGGATTTTGAATTTATTAAATTTATAATTAATTTTGATTCAAAATAAATTGATTGTAAAATTGTTTGGGGTTTGGACTTTTTATGTAAAGTTGATTTTTATGAATTCATTTTAAATATTTTAGACTAAAATAGTTTTCATTATATAAGGTAAAAACATTATTTTTATTAATTCATTTTAAATATATAGATTGAAATAGTTTTAGGTAAAAACATTATGTTTATTAATTCATTTTAAATTATTTTGATTAAAATACTTTTTTATAAGACGAAAAGAAAAAAATAGACTAAACTCTAAAAAATGAGTTTATGGGTAGGAAATGACTAAGTCCGATAAAAACTAAGCGTGAATAAGAAGATCTTAGTTAAAATAAACATGATTATGAAAATATAATAATGGTTGTTTTTATAGATAGTGTGGGTGATTTTAAATTGACAATTTTCACATATTTGTGGTACTTGTTGATAGGATTTCAATAAAACTAATACATAATGTATAATTTGTGTAACAAACAAAGTCGTTGATGTTTGTGTCTTTTGCAATTAATAGCTCCTAAAATATGATATAAAACTTTGCCTAAAGAATATATGATGAGCCATGATGGTAGTCAAAATAGTCTTTCTCTCCAAACATCATATAGTTCTGCGACAATATGCTCTAGTAGGTATCAAGATGCAACTTCCATCAACATTTTAAATAATGTAAGGAAAGTTGGGGGATTCCATTTCATTAGTCTCTTGTTAGTTTGTCCTTGATAATGTTTGCAAAAGCAAGAGAGGAAGTAGTTTGCCATGTTGTGGGAAGTCAAAGAAAGGAGTATAATAGGATTTTATCATGAACAATGTAAGTGGACTTTCTATTTTGCCATGTTGTTGGATTTTATCATGCTCGTTTTAAGCTAGTTGTTTTTATTATGGGTTGAGAAAAAATATGCATTGCAAAAATCCAACATCCTGCTAAAGATTCTTCAAAAGTCAGAACAATCGTAGAACAATCGTGGATCCAGCGGGAAAAAAACTCATCTTCCAAATAACAATGGATGCACAATACTAGCGTATGATAACTATTAGAATTAAGTGACTTTCAATAATATTATTAGAGCACTTATTGACTTGTTTTATAAGAAATCATGATTATAAAAATTAAAAGTTATTGTATATACTATATACTAGATATTTAGCTTTTAGTTCTGATAATATTATCTTTGACTTATTTTCACACTTTTGTAACGAAATACATAAAGAAAAATCAATGATAAAAGACCAATTAATTTGAAGACTGCAAGCAACTCATAGGCAAAATCATTAATGGTCTGTCGGCAAAGTCAGAGAGTTTAAAATTTTTCAAGGCAAGGAATTAAAAACATAATTTTAAATTGTGTTAATCGGTTAACCCATATGGTTAATCGGTTAACACTGAAGGTTTTTGTAAAAATACTTAATTTCAATTAGAACAAGTATTTTAAAATAATTTTGAAAGAATTAGGTAAGTGGTGTAGTGAAATGTGGTTTTTAAAGAACACTTGCATAAATTTTCTAAAGTAAAAATGTTATACCGTTCCATGAATCGCCATTTTCACTTGTAGCTTATAGACGAAGCTTTGATTAATAAAGTTGTATGCGATGATACTCTCTTGATCTTTGTTGATCTTATTTGCTTGCTTGCGTCTCTTGCTTTTTGCAATTGTCTTTAGAAGAATGATGATTCTGGTTTCATCTTCAATATATATACCCCTACGGGTATATAGTGCTTCTGGTCATCTCTTCAATATACCCCTACGGGTATATAGTGTAAGTATCTTGCTTTGCGTACCAAGCTTGTATAAGTTGTCTTCATCAAAACACAAAAGCCTTGAAGCTTGATTATACACTCATAACTCCAAATCTATGCATTTTTGGACCCCAATTTCTTGATTCACAAGTTATCCATCAATTCTTGATTAAATCTTCACCAAACGTATTAGTTGGTCATAAAATGATGTTGGAAACTTTGCTTGCTTCAATTTGGGGTCAAAACCCTAAAAGTCAAAGAGTTGACTTTCCAATCAGAAGAGCCGAACAATTGAAATCTTCAGGATCGATCCTCAGTGTTCTGGGGTTCTTGAAACTTTCAAACTTCTTGAGGGAACTTTAATAAGTCATAGAAACATCATGGACCTTGGTTCAAGCTTTGGAAGCCCATTTAGACTAAAAGTTAAACCATAGTTGACTTTTTCAACTAGAAACCCTAATAAGGGTTTTGCACAACACTGTTTTAATTCTACTGGTAAAAACCTCAAATAGCACTTGCTCTTGGTAAGATATGAACCTCTTGATGATGTAAAGACTTGATGTGTATAAGATCAATTCAAAACCTTGACTGATCATTCCACAAGATTCATGATTTTGACAGTGTGAAACCCTAATTCATCTGCATCTTGACAAAGACAAACTTGAAAAAGGTTAGGGTTAAATAACATATGCTTGATGCACCTATAATGATAATGGGGTCTGGGGGTCAAAATTTGGGGTATGACAGGTACCAATCCCCTCATAATAAGATTACAATAAAAATACATAAATGGCACGTAGGCCAAAGGGTAATACTACTCCTCTTGCTAGATTTCCTCGTGCGAAGCCTACCCCTGGTCGTACCCACCCTCGCTGAACTGGAGGAATTCTGGGACGACTATCTGGTCGTCCTTGACCGTGTAGAGGAACTTTGTGCCCTCGGTATTCAGCTTGACCCCTGGGTTCACCACCTTTATCTGGTCCACTGCATTTTGGAAGGCCTCCTCGCCAATGGCCACTAGGTCATCAGCAACCTGAACAAACTAGGAAACCAACTCCAAGCGATTCGTCAGTTGCTTCGTCTCTTCAGGCTCATCCTCAATTTCTCCACCAAGTCATCGACAGCTTTCAGCTTAGCGGCCACAACATCCCTCTCCTGAGCCACCTCCTCGCAGCCTTTACGGGCAGCATCCTCAAGCCCCTTCTCCCTATCCTCTTGGAGTTTCTTGACCTTTTCTTCCAGAGTCGTCACTACAGCCTGGGATTTCTTCAGCTCTAACTCCAGCGGAGAGCCCTCCTCGGTATAAACCACGACCATCTCTAGGACCCTCATTAAAGCAGAGGCATCCTGGGCAAGAATGGCTTGTTTACTAGGATAGTACATTTCCTCGAGCTTTAGAAACTCTGCCCGAGGAATGGACAGAGAGGACCCCTCAAAGAATTTCTTGTTGTGAAAGCAGAGGGGGCAGCTCATACTTGCTTTTGGTGGACTCCCGGCTGAGGTCCACAACCTCGTTTGGACGGGGACGCTTGGGCCTCGAGCTCACGGGCAGAGGCGATGTATGGGTGGACGGAGGAGTTGAGGCTGATGTCCCCGACCCTGATGGAGAGGGGACAGTCCGCTGACCAAGACAGCTCTTACCCAGGGAAGCGCCACTCTTCATTTTTCCTTGGGCGTGCTTCATCATCCATTTCTGCGCTGAAGGCATCTTACCTGCAAAATTAACAAACACGTAAGCATGGAGAAAGAAAAAATCTCAAGCACAATAAGAAAAGGCGAGAACTACCCAGGAACTCAAGAGCCTCCTCGCGAGTGCTGCACTCGAGGAGCTCTTTAGTGTTGATGTATCGGGCTTCCACCTGCATCCCGTCGTCTTCCTATACAAAAGTTTCCCGGCGCGAGTCACGCACTGGCCAGGAAGGAAACCATCTGCATAAGCTACCAGCTTAGCATAGCTAGCCCGATTGTCCTCCACCAGCTGATAAGGGGCAACTATATAATCATCAGTTGAGCGGGTAAAGTGAGCCCCGCTCCAGCAAAAGGGAAAGGCAAATAGCCTCTGGGCAACTATCTTGCCCTCCTCATTTATCAGGTCCTCCCTGTTCTTGTTCGTTGAATCGGTGGCCCTCTCTGACACCGGTTCGATCATATAAAATCTTTCCTCAAATGTCCAGATAGATTCGAAGAAGGGTCTGAACAGCTTCCTCCTTTACTTCAAAGAAGCGCAGCCAAACTTTTTCCCTGACACCTGTCGTTGGAGGTGGAAAACGGTAAAGAAAAGGGGAAGGGTGACCCGGATCTGCATATGCTCGCATACCAGCTCATATGCCCGCATGAAGTCGATAGAATTTGGGTGCAGTTGAGAAGGCGCCAGGTCAAGATGCATGAAGACGGCACGCTGAAAATCTGTAAAGGGAAACCACAACCCTATCTCCTTAAAGACATACTCGTACATAGGGAAATGCTCCTCGTACATCGAGCAAATTAGGTCTTCTCTTAAAGGAAAGTGGACCTTTCATTCTCCCTCCTCCCAACATGGTGAAGGCGTCCCCGGTATAAGAAGCAAAGATAGATGTGTGCTCCATGGGCTCGGCCACTGTCC